ACCCTCATGATTACAGTACAAACTTATGGTGGCAGTTAATGAATAAGACAGCCCATGAAGGAAACACTACTGACTGTTATGTATGTGCACACATGCCCTACTCAACACACAACTCAGGTTTACGGCCCTTACCAATTGATCCTGACCATCAAGCTTGCCTTTATAGCCTTAGTACACATCCAGGTGCTGACTCTTGGGCAACCAGATCCTATACAAAACCTATACCTATCCAAATGTTAGATAAAACCACAGACCTATACCGAAGGCTCGCCATGAGTTCTTTAGCAGGTAACTTTTCTTCGTCTTGTGACAAGCATGATTTGGTCCCACTACCACAGACTACGATAAAATTACCAGAATTAATGAACCTCGCCCATCTAAAACCCGGTAGCCTAGGAACTTGTATATTCAATAATGGAACAAAAAATATGGGCTACCTCCCATGGAATTTATGCAAAACAGTGTATACATTTTGCGACGTTCAGAAAACTAACACCACTGACAGCCTCTCGTACATGGAGTGCCGCATCTGTAAACATAGACATGAACACCCGAGCCTCCAATTAAATCTTTGGAACCGTGTAGGAAAATCTTCTTATGACCCATGCGTTGAAGCCGATAAATTACCTGACTGTTCAGTACTGTTACTTAAACGTTCTTTCAATCTCACTAAACAATCTAACGGTCGATGTTCCACTGCACAATGTAGTTTATATGTTCCAGGTGACAAAGGTTCCAGAGTTTTGACTGATTGGTATTTTCTCTGCGGTCACAAGGTCCACACTGCGTTAACACCAAATTGGAAAGGTCTTTGCGCTCTAGTTCAATTATCCAGTCCCATGTTCATATTAAGAAAACCACCACAATCACGTGATAAGAGACCCCGTCGTTCACCTTTGCCCAAAGTCACTAGATGGGGAGGGCTGACCACTAGCACTGGAGTACCATGGGAATACAGAATTTGGAACGGTGGTGAAAAATTCTTTCAACAAGTATTCCCTATGGTTGGATTAGGTGAAGTCCGCGACCATGTAGAGATCAATAGATATGCACTTCTCCGCCTGATTAATGCCACACAAATGTTAGGAAATGGAACTCAAAATGAATTAAACGCAATTAGGAACATGGTTCTCCAAAATAGAGTTGTCCTTGATCTTTTAACGGCCTCACAAGGGGGCGTTTGTAAGATAATTGGTCAAGCATGCTGTACATTTATCCCTGATGAAACACACGATGGAGGTGCTATCCATGACTCACTAGAAGATTTGTCCCAATTAAAAGACTACGTAGAAAGCGGTACTAAAGGTGCACAGCCCTTTGATTTCTGGGCGTGGCTTACCTCTGGTTCATGGTGGCAGCTTCTGTTGAGAATTTGCACCCCTCTCATTGTCTTTTTAGTTCTGTTTTGTTTATTTTTCTCCTGTGTTGTCCCATGCATCAAGAGCATGGTGAACAAGGCCTTTACAGGAGTAGTTACGACATCCACCTCTGACACTGACATTGAAAAGCCCAGCCCATCCACTGAACTGTTGCCTAGGACTTCCACCACTTTTGTTTTAAAATAAAATGAAAATTCGTTTTACAGTTAGAGAAAATCAATCCACT